AAGTCAGTCAGATGACGATGATGATGACGATGATGATGATGATGATGAAGACGATGACGACGACGATGATGAAGATGATGATAAAGATGAGTAATGCATTTAAACTAGCCAACCTAGAGAAGCAGGGTTGTGTTCATGCATATTAACTCACTACTGCAACAGATGTTTGGGATGGTGATGACGACAATGATGATGAAAATAATGATGATAAATGCATGAATGAATCAATAAAGGAACGAGCAAAATAGATAATGAATGAATGAATGAATGAATGAATGAATGAACGAATGAATGGGTGATTAAATGAACAAAACGAAATAGCAAGCGGGTGATTGAGTAAATTAATGAATGAAGTGAAATAAAAAGAAGTGAATTAATGAAAAGATAAGTAAATAGATGAATGAATAAATGAATGAATGAATGAATGAATGAATGAATGAATGAATGAATGAATGAATGAATGAATGAATGAATGAATGAATGAGTGAATGAAACAAAAACCAGGCAACAGACGCGGGGGCTTCGATGTTAGTGCACATGTTTGGGGCATACTTTGGCTTGATGGTGGCCCTTTTTACCGCAAGGCCCGGCGACGTCCAATCACAGAGTTTCAAAGAACTTTCTGTCTATCATTCTGATATCTTCACTATGATTGGTTAGTTGGGGTTTCGCGGTAGAATCTGATTGGCTGGCTAATCATTACACTTGTCATCATCGCATCACCATCGTCACTTCAATCACCCTAATCCAATCATCCTCATCAACGCCAGGAACGCTCTTCTTGTGGTTATTCTGGCCGAGTTTCAACAGCGTATTCGTGGAGGGTGAAGGTCGTCAGAGGTCAATCATCAACAGCTACCTCGCCCTCCTTGCTTCCGTTGTTGTGGCTGCAACCATTTCTGCCCTGGTCCAGAAGAACAAGAGGTTCACCATGGTTCGTCGTTGGTGGCCGTTGATCATTCTCTCTAGCATTATTGTAATTGCAATTATGATTGTTATAGTCATAATAATCATCATAATTTTTACCACAGATCCACATACAAAATGCCACACTTGCTGGCGGGGTAGTTATGGGTACGATGGGGAATTTAATTGTTTGTCCGTGGGTGGCCCTACTGATGGGGACGCTCGCTGGAGGGCTGACCGTGCTGGGGTACCACTTCATCACCGTGAGTCATGATGATGACGATGACGTTGATGTTGCTGATGACGATGATATTGTTGATAATGAGGATGATTGTGACACAGCCGTCAATCAACGAACTAATCAATCAACTGCAGCCATGTTGTAACCAAAAACTAAAAATACACGACACGAGAGGGGTCCACAACTTGCACGCACTTCCGGCTATACTGAGCGCCATTGGTGGAATCGTCTGCGCCGCACTTGCAAGCCATCAAGTTTATGGAGACAGGTTGGCTGCTTGATTAGTTGATCGGTGAAATGATTGGTTGGTTGTAGCTGGTGGTTGATTGGTTGGATGATTGACTGGATATCCGGATTGTTGCTAGTAATCATCCCACTTCGATCGTACCCAGCACTAATTAATAGCACCATGTTGTAACCAAAAACTAAAAATGCATTATCATCATAATTAGGGGACTTCTTGAAACGTTTCCGGCTATATTTAGCGGCAGAACGTCAGCTGAGCAAGCAGAGTTCCAACTAGCTGCCCTCGCTGTAACCATGGCTATCAGCTTAGCTGCTGGCGTTGTTACTGGTTAGTAATTTTTAAAAGTTGGCAAAGTTTTTTTTATACTAATTTTATAAATTTGAAATATTTTGTACTTATTGTTTTTAGAAATTAAGTTCCTTTCAGAATTTTAATAATGTGT